CCTAAAACCCAAACCCTAAATCCTGAACCCCAAACCCTAAATCCTAAACCCCAAACCCTAATCCTAAATCCTAAACCCTAAACACTAAACCCTCAACCACTACGACCTCAGGACTTGACCACTGTTGGGTTGCCGCTATATCTTACAGAGAAACTTGTGTTGACGGATTGAAGAGCAACCTAGTAACAAAGAGACCGTAATCAAAGTTTAGGGTTTATGGTTTGGGGTTTAGGATTTACGGTTTGGGGTTTACGGTACTGTTGATGATTCACAATCATATTACTGATGGCGATAATGATGAAAGGATTTGGCTCTTCCTCACTTGGCTGGTGCTTGTGCGTAGCATTGCGTAGCCCGTGCGGTGTAAGCTGATCTAGGTTTTGGAAGCTATTGCGCTCGAAGACCTACCATTCAATCATGGCTTTTCTGGCCTGGGCCTAAACCTAAACCCTAAACCCTAAACTTTAAATCTTCGCGTTATTGACTAAGGAAGAATTGCGGAGTCTTCCCGCCTATGGTGTTCATAAGGGCTTCCTGAGCATCAAAGGTACCCTGCGCTTCTCAGACCTCTAAAAGGACGCCAAACCTTAGATCGATGTAAATGGTCGTTTCCCAAAAAAGAGGAACCCCAATTTCGACCCCAGAACGCTACAGTCCTTAGTATAGGGACCTCCAAGAAGGTACCCCAATTTGAGGAACCCGCACAATCTCGGATTTTCCTACGGGTCTGGGCTGACGATTCAACCGCAGTCCGTGCCCTCCCCGGACATGTGCTACTTGGTTTGAGGACTTGCACTATCACCCTCTGACCCGTGTATTGCCCTAGCAGAATACATTCCAAAGTCTTGTTCACTTCAAATGGGACCCTATATCTTGAAGCAGGATGGCTGCCAGAGTACGTTTCCAGTTCTTGGGAGATGGTGGCTGCTACAAAGCCAGGTCTACAGCTGCACGACTCCCTCTTTTACTCGACCCCGGGTTTGCTGTTAAAAAGCAGAGCGAGTTCAACGGCTTTAGGATTTTGGGTTTGGTCTTAGGGTTTTGGGTATTAGGGTTTTGGTGGGATTAGGTTTTAAGGATTTGCTTGTTTTTTGGGGGGGTTTAGGGTTTAGGGTTTCGGGTTTAGGGTTGAGGGTTTAGGCTTAGGGCTTACGGTTTAGGATTTGTAGGGCTTACGGTGTAGGCTTTTGGGTGTGACCCAGAAACCTGAACCCTAAACCCGAAAACCTTAAATCCTAAACGCTAGACCCTAAACCCTAAATCCTATACCCTAAATCCTAAAGCCTAAGCCTTAAACCCTGACCCGAAATCCTAAACCCTAAACCCTAAACCCTAGATCCTAAACACCATTCCAGGACTTATGACATGCTCCAGCTGGCGATGCAGGGCGCATTTGTCCAAATAATCCGAGATCAATGTTTTTTCGAATCGATCAGGAGTTAAGGGTCAAGGGTTGGGTTTAGGGTTAAGGGTTGGACGCTTACGGACACGGACATCGCAACAGTATGTTTTGAGCGCAAGCTCAACAACTTCTACGTGCTGCAAACCTTTAGGTAACATGCTTTGCACAGATCTAGAAAAGAAGGCTAAGCTATGCCACTGTTTATTTTGCAGTGCAGCGTTTTGTCAGACTGTAGAAAGGAATAGTATATTTCTGAAAGCCTAGTGACGCGGTGGCTTTGTGGACCGACCCCAAGCCTAAAATCTTCAACCCGAAGCCCAATCCCTAAATCCCTCAACCCTTAAACCCCTAACTCTAAGCCCCTTCACCCTAACCTTACACCACTGGCGATGAAAACAACTACTGGCTACAAGTGCTGAGACCTGGAGGAAGCCAAGATCCCGGGCCTAGTCCTGGAGTTTGGGGTGTGGTATGGCACCACGGCCGTTGAGCCGGTTCAGGGTGTAGTTTAGGGTTAGGGTGAATGATTTAGGGTTTACCTTCAATCAAATTTCTGTAGTGTACTACCGGTACGCATATGGAATAGTTATGTTGTTGATGGACGAACTCATGCGTGTGGCAAGCAGGATTTGTCTATTATGTATGTAGTTTATGAATACTTGACTATCGTGTGCTACAGTACTTTTTGGCAGGCTGCAGGTTAATAGGGTCTACTATAGCATCATGCAACAGCACAGGATAACAAAGTGCACCATTTTGAAGCGGGGCAGTACTTTAGGTACAGCCCGGAACCTCGGAGTACAGCATGCCATGCTATAGTATCTTCCACGACAGCTGAATACCGGATGTTGAAATGTGAAGTGTCCAGACGTAGTTTGCAGTATACGCGTGGCATGGTAGATGGAGGAAACCTCGCACCACTCTACATACCTTATAGCGCAGGAAATATCGCACCATGCGGATCCTGATTGGTGCAAGATTTCTTCCATGGAGAGTAAGATTAGGCTAGGTTCCCTACCCTACCTCATGCCCGAACAACCTTCAGTTCCAGGACTCTATAGTCAATAGTATGAATTAAAGGCTTGTATGAAACCCGAGAACTGAAGGTCTTTGGGGTCTAGGCAAACCCTCAACCCAACCCCCAAGTTCTAAGCCTAAAATCTGAAGCCTAGACCTCCAACCCTGAACCCTAATCCCTAAACCCTACAAAGCTACTTGATAAGTATTAGCCAAGGTTCCTCTTTGCACATCATCGCCTCATCATTCGAGGGTTCCAGGGTGCATGGTTTCGATAGTCTCCAAGGGCTCCCAGAGGCCTCGGAGCTACAAAGGTTTAGGTCTTAGGGTTTGGGGTTTTTGGTTTGGGGTTTAGGGTTTAGGACTTGAGAATTGGGGTTTAGAGTTTGGGGTTTCGGGCCTGCGGTTTAGGACAAGGGGTTGAGGGTTTGGGGTTCCAGGTTGCATCGGCTTATGGGGTTATATAGGGTTATATAGGTATATATACGGTTTAGATTTATTCGGGAACTAGGGGTACCAGCGGAAGGATTATGTTATGTTGGGGCTTGCCCAGGTGGGCAAGGTGTTGATTGCAAAGCTCGCAACAACATTTTGGGGTTGAGGGTTTACGGTTTGAACAAGCTTAGCTGAAACCATCCCGCGAGGAATGGAACAACAATCATGTGGGCAAATACTCCACCAAGGGCCATATCCCCGACTTGCCCTCGAACGCAGAATTGCATGTGGGATGGTTCAACGAGACCTTGCCGGGATTCCTCAAAACGCACGAAGGTCAGGTGCGTTTCATGAATGTGGACTGCGACTGCTATTCCTCCACCCGGGACTTGTTGAATCTTCTCTCTCCGCGCATCGGTCCAGGGACCATTTTGATCTTCGATGAATATACAAATTATCTAAACTGGCAGCAGCACGAGTTCAAGGCTTTCGCCGAGGCCGCGGCAGAGAATGAATGGAGCTTTGAATACGTGGGTATCAGCTTACAGAGCAAGCAGGCAATCATTCGCATCCTCGGCTAGGGAAATCCAAGTTATAACTACGTAACATGCCCCCTAAACCCTACGCCCCGCACCCCAACCCCTGGTTGCGGCTAGTGATGGATAGCACTCGTGCTTCGGGTGCTAACTACCTAAACCCTAAGTCCTAAACCCTAAACTACTTAGTTCGCATCACAAGCTTGGCTTGCCGCGACATGCCTGAAGACAAACAGCGCGCAGTACAGAGTCGCAATTCCGGGTCTTGAGGATGAATAAGTTCTACATTTAGGGTTTAGGGTTTTAATTAGGGTTTGGGGTTTGGGGTTTAGCGCTTGGGGTTTAGGGTTTAGGCTTTAGGGCTTAGGGTTTAGGGTCCAGGGCGTGGGGTTTAGAGTTTAGGGCTTATAAGGTTTAGGGTTTTGGGCTGAGGGTTTAGGGTTTGGGGTTCGGGGTTTGATTATAGCTGGTATTTCATAATCCCATTTCTAAGCGCTTTAGGGGATGTATAGGGCTATTTTGTATTGGCTGCAAGTATGGACCGTTATAACTGGGTTACAGTCACCCTGAACCTCCGAGTACCCATGACAAATTGGGATTGGGGACCTGGCATTTTGAGGAATCCTGGGGCCCTAAGTCTGTAGTCTATGTATATTTAAATGCCACATACATTCATTGGGCCTTAAAGCCCACAAATAAAACCTACATTGGGCCATTCAGAAATCCAAAACCCGAAACCCCCTACAGTTGGGTGGTCGGAGCCCGAAGGGGGACCCTCAACCTCTGATCACTAGACCTGATGAGTCATTTACAATTCTATACAACACGGTTTCTCGAAATATCCCTACCGACCTGGAGGGTCCAAGTACCCAAATAAGAGGGCCCTCCAATACTACAATCTGAATGGTCTTGGGTACCCGAAAACCCTACCATTTGGGTACTGAGACCTTTATTAGAGCTAGATCTCACGAACCATTCAGGAGCCGAGAGGCAGAGAAACACTTTCCTCGTGGGTTGACCTGCCACCCCCCCACAGCCTCAAGGGTGGCTGGGACGGTAAGCCTTAAACCCAGACCCTAAACCCTAAACCCTAAGCATTGAACCCTAACCACCAGAAACCCTAAACCCTAAACCCTAAGCAGAAGAAGAAGATCTCTGAGGGATATTGGAGTGAAGACTCTCTTTGAGTGGTCCCTCACGCAATTGTTCTGATATGAGCTATACTCTAAATTTGGGGTACTGCCCCATCCAGTAACAGTCTATATTAGGGGTCCTGTTAAGGGCTATATATAACCATATTATGAATATTACCCAACTGTTACTGAGTGGGGGCAGTACCCAATCTACATTCCTTAAAGGGGGATTATATGAGGGATCGGGGGCTATTAAGGGGGATGTTAGAGGAATTTAGATTATAGCTCATATATGGCAGGTTGTCAAAACTTGGTCCCTTTTTGGGGACCTTAAGTATAAGGAGCAAAATTTTGCTATTGAACCCCAAAGGGACCACAATTTTGACAACCCCATATAAACCCGAAACCCTAAGCCCTAAATCCTAAACCATACCTAAACCCCAAAAGTATGTGAAATAATAGCCCTAAACCCATAATAACAGCCATAAAGGCCATTATTTTACATACTTTTGGGCTCCAGGTAAACCTAAACTGGGGGTATCAGGGGTAGCTTCTTCTTGTACGTGCCCATACCAGTGGGAAGGTTCAGACCTTCTGAAAGGACACTACCCCTACCCGGATGATTTTGGGCTTCAGGGTTCAGGGTTTAGAGTTCAGGGTTTGGGGGCTTTGGCATGTGGTTTGGGGGTTTAGGGTCACTGCTGTCCAGACCGCTACAATTTTCAGGAACGCGACAACCGCCAGCCCCGTACACGCTGTATGCACGTTAGATTTTGAGAAAGAATCGAAACGCATCCAGGTCTCATAGTCCCCCAAAACTGACGAGGCGCCCCCAGAAATATCCTATAAAGACTTCTGCCTTATGGATGGGCGCTATCCGAAACCCTAAACCCTAAACCCTACACCCTAAACCTTAACTCTAAACCCTGTATGGGCTTTTATGTTAGTTCCGGGAAGGGTGCACGGTGCGACAGGGTTTTCTTCTTAACCAGTGGGTAAGTCTGGAAGGACCGCCAACACCAAGACCCCACGAAACCTAAACCCTACAGGGTTTAGGGTTTAGGATTAAGGGTTTAGGGTTAAGGATTAAGGGCTTAGGGTTTAGGTTTAAGGATTAAGGTATTAGTAGGGTTAAGGGTTTAAGTTTTAAGTGCCTACACCCTGAAATCCTAAACCGGTTTGGGAGTTCCCAAGAAACGGTTCCTCCTTGTATACTTCACATGCCATAGTGTCACTTGCCCCGAATTGATTCTCCTAAATCTCCAGCCTTACTCCCTATCTCAACAGCCCTAAGCATCCTTATGCAACCGCGGTGTAGGGTTTAGGGTTTACCCCTTTAAACGGGACCGCTGGTTGTTGCCACTCGTTATAGGGGCGAGCGAAAGCCAACACAAAGACCCTCTAGTACATGGCAGTAGGGCTGGGTTGGCTCAGATCCCCAGCTACGAACTTTTGGTTTGGGGTTTAGGGTTTAAGAGTTTAGGGTTTAGGGCTAGGATTTTAGGGTTTAGCGTTTACAGTTTAGGGTTTAGACCCTGAGGCATCGGTCCTTACTTCAAGTCCCACAAAGAGGGGAAAGCAGAACAAATCACAATCTTTTCTTGTTTGAGCTAGTCAACTTTGGGTGTATGAGCCATAATCTAAAATCCTTAATAAAGGCGGGGTTATTTAAGGGAGTGATTTGGGGTAGTATCATAGGGGTTATTAAGGGGGATACTAGGAGTTAACATTTTGGCTCATATGGTGGTTTCTCAAAACAGGGGGCGTGTAGGACCCCTAGGGATATGTAGGGATTGCAAGGGGATAATGAAGATTATGGATTCCATAAGCCGTTTATTGATAAGGTCCCATATCAGTCCCTTTGTATTGCGTTGCCATGTTCATGGCACACAATGCGGCTCCTCTTCCCCTTGGTTCAGAGCTGACACAGTGTGCTTGGAGGAAGTTAGAACCCTAAACCTAACACCGCAGCTGTAATTCTCGGATAACTGCAGACGTAGCAGGGAAACGCAGGGCTAGTACAATAATGAGTAAACTACCCGGAACACCTCCGAGCTCTATAGTCCCCTCAACCCTTACCCTAAAACCTAAACCCTAAATCCTAAACCCTAAAAAGGTAAGCCTTACATATTAATCCTTAAATCCTAAACCGTAAACTAAACCCTAAGGCCTAACCAAGCAAGTTGTGTGGAGGCTACAAAGGGGTCCATCGTTGTCCGCGGTGGGGTCCCGCATCGTAGGCCTGGCTCCGCTCAACAGGGTTTAGGATTTAGAGCATTATGGTTTAGGGTTTAGGATTTGGGGGCTGGGATTTAGAGTTTAGGGTTTAGGATTTAGGCTTCAGAGCTTAGGATTCAGGATTTAGGAGTGAGGGTTTAACGCTGGGCTCTTTGGAGACCCCGACAAGTTTAGGGATGACATGGAGATCAGGCGGCGTCCGATGAAAGTTCCCACATAGGGATCATCAGTGCACATTACCCTTGACCCTACACCAGTTTAACTGTGGTAGGAGAAGGTCTGGCTTTGGGGGAAGGCCTGAACCCTAAACTCTCAACCGCGTGGCTTTGTGAGGGTGACTTCAGGGGAGTCCAGTGATTATGTGCAGGAGCGAGCGCTTGCTTTCAGGAAAGGTCTTGGAGAGATCTTCAGTTAAGGATGCTCGAGGTGAGGGTTTCTGGGCATTTCTATCGTCTAGGCCTTATGAGAAAGCTCACGAGTGCTCAAGCCCTCCTCTAGAACGTGCTGTTTCCTCACATCAACAGCTCACAGTTCGTGCTTTTTCCTCACAGGAACAGTTCACAGTTTAGGACTCCAGCTATGGCAGGTGAAGGCGATGCCCTTAACAGCATTGCTAAGGAGTTGCCCCAACTCTCAGCTGGAATGGAGTCCCTCAAAGTCCAGCATGCACAGGACCTGCAGCAGCGTTCAGTGCTGGCGCAGCAGGTGGAGAACCTGAGCCAGCGTGTGAACAACCATGACGCGCTAATGACTGGTGATGGCCCATCAGTTTTGGCTACAGCGGAACCGGTTGCTCACCCACAGGAATGGCAGGTCCAAGCATCTGGCTCACAGGAGGCGCACGTCACAAGAGTCGAACGTGCAGCTATGATCACAGAGGCCCTCACAGGCAAGGTGGCGCCAGCACTTGGAGCTTTGCACAGCGGAGCAATGTGCAGCTTTGTCGTGGCACTGGCTTCAGGATCTCCCAAGCCCTCCTAACTTACCAAAAACCCCGCAATTTCCGTATGCATGGCTTCAACTTCACAGGCTGGCTGTCCGTCGATGATTTTGGAGCCGGCTAGTGGGACTGACTACGTGTAGGAGGTACCTGAAGCAAACCTTCTAAATTTCCTAGTCACAGTGGCACAACGCAGTGAGTGTAGAGGACTTGAGGTTCAGATGCATACGGCTGCCAGGTCTTATGAGACACATTTTGGGTTATAGGGTATTTATTGGGTTAGGGTTTGTATAGGCAGGGATCATGGAAAAGAAAATGGAAATTACTATATATTATTTAGGGTTTGGGGTTCAGGGTTAAGGCCTTATTACAGTGGAAGCTAAAGGAAAGTTCCATCTCTCTGCGACGGAGGATGCCTTCTGCTAGACTCTGTGAGTTGGGTTGTAGGGCTTAGGTTTTTTTGTCGTAATATCCTATGGTCACGCATATTTTAACTTGAGTGTTCGGCCATATGCCTACCTACTGCGGCACAAAAATCTTGCGCCGCTTTGTATACCCCATACCCCAACACTGTTGGGCTCTTCAAGGAGAGAAACGTTAAACCCTAAACGTATCAGGTGGCTGCCCTTCGAGGAGGCCCACATTGAGCTCACATAAGCGCATTACCTTATACGATATCCAGCTAGTAACTGCTCACCTGGAACTGTTCTTCAAACCCTGATCCCTAAACCTTA